CTGTATGCTAAGCTAAGCTAACCGGGTGTTGGTGGTTGCTTCATATTTAGCAGACAAACATGAAAATGGTATCAGTTTTATCAGTGAACGTTCAAAATTTCGAACCATTGCAAACACAAAATTGTTGGTGAATAATTTTCTGTTGATCGACTAATCGATAAAAATAGTTTGAGCACCAAGTGTATGTGTTTTAGATCAAGGATGTTACATTTAAACAAGCATTATTGCTCTGTTAGTCTGATCCACTAAAAGTTTGTGTATCGATTGAGACTGTTATCCAGATTTTCACAGCTTCCCCTCCCCCGACTGTCATCACTTGGCTGTGATGCTGTTGTTTCCAAGTATTGCAGTATTGTCACAGAGTAGTGAAGGGCTCAGTGTCCTCAGTTCCAAGCTGCTTGCTGGTGCTGACACAGGGGGATTTGCCGGGTAATGAGTATTGAAACAAACTCCTCCGTCATCTCTTTTTTTCGCCAGGCCAGTCGATGGATGACACCTCAGAGACTTGATCGAACGTGACCTTGCTGCCAGACGAGAGCTTGCTTTCCTGTCACCTATTGTGTCTGGAGAGAGCTGGTGTTTTTTCTGGGTTTTTTTTTTGCTTCTGCGTATGTATTCATACATAAAATAATAATATGCACACATGAAAGAGAGAGATATAAGAGTATATTTTGATCATAACAGATCAATTATGAAGGACACTAATGCCTTTCTTGCATTTTTTTTTTAAATCTCCCATTGCTTCCCTGTGGCTCATGAAATGGGAGTTTTGTTTGACTTTAATTAGCTGCGGTGAAGTCTGCAAGAGGCTCATTAGAAAATCAAAGAGCAGCAGCGTATGCAGTATTATAAGTATGTTACTATGTGAATGCTTTGGAAATTAACAGAGCATGGGGAGAGGCCCAGTTCAGAGGTGAATATAGCAGTGAAGCCACAACAGGCACTTTAATTACAAGTTGAACTTTAACCCACATCCCTTTCTCTCAGTCTGAGTCTGCCCGCAATTACCCACAGAAATGTCCCAAACCAGAGATGACTGCCTAATCATTTTTCTGTTTTGGCAGACCGCTGCTTGGGGTTTTAACGGAGCTAGCCAAGTGCACAAGATGACTCATTATCTTCCACACAAGCCAAGCGATCTTTCCCAGTAGCTAGGGGGATGCCCAAAGGAATTGGTAAATGTTTGGTATTTCCTGTTGCCTTTAAGATAGCGTAAGGCCGTCCGAGGAAGACAACAGTGTAAAATGTCCTTTGTGTCCACGAGAAAGGCACTGAGCAAAACCCAGAGGTTTAAACCATGTGAAAAACAAATCAGAGAGGTCGAGGACAGGCTCTCTCCTGCTGGTGGGAAAAGCAAATCATGTGTGAAGCTTCCAGTCTGGGTAACCATGACACTCAGGGAGCAAGTTGCCACCCCATGGCTGAGTATGGGAGCCTCTCAAGTCCTTGCTTTTCAGTCTGATTCCTTTACTCTGTATGTGCCTCTCCCAGGGATTCATTGTGTGCAGTAGAAACGAAGGGAAGGGAGTGTGTAAACCAGGCTAGGCATTTTCCCACTGGATTCATGGCTTCTGTAGGGCGGCTGTGACCTTTTAAAAGCCATTGATCCAAAAAAAAATGAATACTGTAGAGAGCTGCAGCCTGGACTTTATTTCCCAGATGCACACCTGCTGCTGATGGCAGATGGTTTGCTGCAGGGCAAAGATGAGTTTTTGAGGATTATAGAGTCTTTTGTTGATGTGATGAATGCAGATGTTTTGTCCTTTACTGTCCCGGTCATCCGTCTGTGTCCTCCTTTGCCAAATGCTCATTATTATCTTCTTCAAAGGCTCAGATTTTCATAATGGCAGTCAATACAGGCAGAGAAAGAGGGAGAGAGAAGAGACAGGAAGGAAAGAAAAAATAGAAAGTGCAAAGGTTTGTTTTTCACACTGCTCACATGGTTGTGGCAGCGCTGCTTGCTAACGTGTGGGTGAAAAAGTTCCAGGAGCTGAAGTGGAACATGCCTCAGTCTCATGATATCCACCTGACACCCCTCCTCCCCTCCCTCCTCTAGCTCTGCTTCCCAACTCTCCCCTGAGTCAGTCTGGAGTTATTACCGTCCATGTCCTTGTGGAATTCTTTTAAACATCCATCACCGCTCTTATGAACCTCTTACTGTAATTGGCCTGCTTTTGTTTCAGACTTAAATAGATGATAATCTATGCCGACTGTCTGGGACATATCGAGGACACGCATCATGAGTTTGCCATTTTGTCGAGCCTGGCCAGTGGTCAGTCACATAGTCACATGCACTTGATGCTGGACCCAGAAGCTGGTTTGTGTTGTTGCCTCAGCAAACTGTTATTTTCCAGAGGGAAGTGGAAAAAAAAAAAAGGGATGAGGGCAGTGTTTTTGCAAAACCAACATGTTCACCTCAGCTAGAGGTCTGACTGAAGAGGTTGTTCTCTAACAAGTACCTGAATCCTGGAGGGGGGCGGGGTTCATATTGCCAAAGTATTGCCAATACGTTGACTCTGCCTGTATTGACTGCCAAATATTGCCAATACTTTGGCAATATGAACACCTCCAAAACTACTGATATTGCTATCATCATCAACCACAACTATACTTTGTGTTTAGTGCTAATTGGTAAATGTTAGCATGCTAACATGCTAAACAAAACAAAATTTTACCTGCCCTGCATTAGCATGTTAGCATTGTCACTGAGAGCATGCTGACATTTGAAGTGCGTTCTTACAGAACAGCTAGCATGGCTGTATAGACTCGAGCTGGTTTTAGCCCTGGATAATTAAAATCGCTCAGCTGCAACAAAGGAAATGCCATGTGGTTAAAGCCATTGCCAGCTGATTTAAGAGTGCAGTGTGTTTTGACACCAGAGGATCTAAACTGGGAAGAAACTGCTGATCCTTCCTCCTCTGTGTCACTGACTGGCCCCCAGCCTCAGGAATGCCACAGGACGGGAAGGGAGGAGAAGGAAACAGGAAATACTTTTGATATCTCATTTTTTTAGTCCTGTGTGGGCTTTTGTTTGATAAAAGGAAACTGTATATTAAAATATGACACTTTTGAAGGAGAGTATAATGACCCAGTTTTGGTTTTACTAGATCAAGGTCGACTGAAACGTGTGCATTCCAGTTAGAGTTACACAAAACATAATTACTGTAGGTAAATGGAATTAAATCAAGATAGATTAGAATAGAATGATAATAGATTCCCATGGGAACTGACACAGTAATGTTGTAGTGAATTAACCTTAACAATTCACCATTGTTCACACAGAACAGTCAAGCTACAACTAAAAAACTCAATGGATCAAAGGAGCTCATATGTACAGCTTCAACACACTGCTACTAATGTGGTTAGCTTCTTAACAAAAGAGCTGATATTAAATAGGATACTGCTCTCTTTAAAATACACTGTAGTAGTTTGGTTCAAGATAATCTACTTGTATGTGTGTGTGTGAGGCTTAGCACCATGACTTCCTGTCCAGCTGCTCCTGTTGTCACTGCTTATGAGCAGATGTCTGTATTTCCTCGCCTAAGACACACACACACACACACACACACACACACACACACACACACACACACACACACACACACACACACACACACACACACACACACACACACACAGCCGTGGTGTTTGCTGTGCAGGCCTTGCGTACACTCACACATTCTCAATTTGTAACAGACCTCTTTAAAAACTCCTGTTAGCAGCAGAAAGCAGAGCCCCCTCTGAGTTACATTAATATATTTATGCTTATGTTGATCTGCAGTTGCGAAGAGGCTCTTTTGGTGATTCCCATGTTTGTAAATGTGTGTTTCTATGTGTGTTGTGTGTTTGTGTATGAGGGCGGTCTGAAGTTGTGTGTAGGAGGGTGTGAGAGCTGATGAACAGTAATGGATCTGCTTGCAGCAGGGGTGTAATAACACTATTTCCACCAATGCCTTAAAGTTCACTCAAATTATACTTAATAAAAAAAGCAGATTTTGTTTCTTACCTCTAGTGGTATCTGGTTTTTGAGGGATTTGAGATATTTGTCTTTCATTCTTTAATTTTTCTACTGTGACCCCAATAAAATGGAAATTAATGGAATTTTGTATATTTTAAAACTTCAGAGGCAATGAAGTTGATTTTCAAGACACAATGTTTCTCTTTTGCCAAACAATGTACAAGCCTGACTTTGAACATGTTTAATACTTTCTAATGAAAAAACATTCCCTGTATTATCCAGTGAAAGAAGACCCTTACTCTGGATATATTGCTGTTGAAAGTTTAAACATAGTGTTGTGAGCACCAGCAATTAAATTCCATTTACTCCAATTTTATTGACACATATCTCAAAACCTAGATAGATGAAACCTAAATTATCTTTCTGTTAAATGGCCAGCATTGAAGGTGGTAAGTCAAGTCAAATTAATTTCATAATGTGTGAATCAACCCTTCAAAGGATAATGAAGCTGATATTGTATATTTTCATGAAATGACCAAAACCAATAATCAGTTGATACTAAGAACAGGTATTGTCTATGTAGCCAAAGGCAAATGTTATTCCTCTGTGCCACAGAGCTCCATTGTGTCCAGCAACTATTCACACCACTGATCCACACATTTACACTGTTTGACATGTTCCTTTATTATGGTGAACATGTGGCAGTATAATAGTCCACATCAAATGTACTATTTATTCCTGTCTGAATAACATTTGCTAAAAACTAGTGGTCAGATGTTGCCAGAAAATTTCTGTGCCTTTTTTTTTTAATAAATAAAATGAAATTATATATTTGTAGCCATATATGAATCAACCGTGCATTTAGATTTACTGTATGTCTTTAGTAGGAGTGATAGACATCTCAGCCTTATCTATTATGGTGTCTTCTAGTAGACTACACCCAACAGATAACCAACTGATGCAAGAACAAAAACACAGGTAAAAACATATTCTTTGAGAGTCCAATTAACTGTCTGACTTTCTCTTCTTGTCTGTTTCCCAGGATGCCTTTGTGGAGCTGTATGACAGACAGAGGGAGTCCGTCTTCAGTTGCTCCTGGCCCTCCATCAAGACAGTCTTCGGCCTGGCTGCACTCGGGGCAGCGAGCCTCACCATCGGAGCATACCTTACACAGAAGTGAACCGAGCCCCTGTATTCTATCAGCTCGACTTTATTCTTCAACATCCTCCTCCTTTTCCTCGTGCCTCTCCTTTATTCCTTTTTAAAGACGGTCCTGACCCCTCAGAGACAACCTTCAGACTCTTCCGAATTTGGCTCTCTTCAAAGCCCTCTCTCAGAAAACTCCCTCTTCCTCGCCCCTCCGTGTCAAAACAGACACAAATCAAAACAACTGAAAGAACCAGATGCGCAGCCCATACAGAGCAAAGGATGTCTTGAAAAGAGGCAGCTTAGATGTAATCACTCTAAGCTGCCTACATCTGAGGAGAGAGGAGCGATCAGTGGTATGCATCTACCTTTTTTCTTTTTTTTTTGTTCTGCCTGCTTCTGTACTAGTTATAGCATGAACGTTGAGTGTTAGTGTAGACGTTGCATGATGTGTCAGAGCTCATGCGAGACCTCTAGTTGAAGGCCTTGATGATGGGGGTGCAGGGACGATGATGATGATGATGATGATGATGATGACGATGGAGATGATGACGCCCCACACACCGGAGAGGAAGCGGCCTCAGCCACGCCCCTGCTTGTTAGGGTGAAGAACCCCGTTTGAACTGTGGACTCCAGTTACCCCCCTGCAGCCGTCCTTCAAAGGACTTCCTCCACAGAACAGCTGCTCAGAATGTATAATGGAAACAGCTTGCTCGAACCAGCGCAGTGTGTGTCTGCTGCTTTCACTCCTCAGATGGCTCCAGTGAACTCTGAACACACTGCACCATTATACTTTCCCTGGACTTTTTAATAGAGGATGGACCAGTGGAAGACTGAGCTCAGCTTTTGGAAGTTTCTGAAAGCTCTTTGATTGCGTTTTTTTTTTTTTTTTATGTTGACTTTTAATTTTTGCAACATGCCAAACCCCAGCAGAGAAAGATGGTTATTTTAAGGAGTGAAAAAACACACGGAAGAAGCCTGTTGTTGCAGAAAAATGTCATATGCTGATGAATATATAGAGAAATGATGAGCAGAGCACAAGCGTGAGGTAGAAATAAAATAAAGACTGTGTTTTGCATCTTAAGATGGGAGTGGGCCCCTGCAACATAAACGGACAAGATTTTAAGAATGCATTCCTCAAGTGAAGCGATGTGAACGAGACTACACCTCTGCTAAATTATTCCCCCTCAAAAAACTCAAACACGCTCTAAAGCAACTCTAAAAGCTATCAGTTCTTTTTTTATCCTCTACCTCTGTTGCAGTTTTCCTACTCTTCACTCACTCAGCTGACCCTGTCCACGTGTCCTCCAGCTGCTGAGGCCCCCACAGCCACCCTGTAATGCTAGAATCCATTCTGACAAAGACTCTTGTGGACGTGGACCGAGAAAACCTCGCTTGGCCACAGACGACTGAGTGGAGTACCACGACAGCAGGGTTTCACTTTAGCACTAGAGTCAGTGTGTCCCGTGTGCTGGAACCTGAGATGTCCCTTCTCTCCAGTCTGCAAATGCATCCAGTCATTGATTTGTTCCTTTCAGCCTGTTTTTTTTTTTTTTTTTTTTGATGTCCGTCTTGTGTTACAGTCTGATAGAAAATTTTGGAAAAGGCTCACACAGGCTCCAGAATATTTTTTTTTTTGTATACTGTAGTTGGTTATGGAAAAGTGATTTTTTTTTTCTGTTATTAAAAATCTTCAACTTCTTTGTTGCATGGATGAAAGATACTGTCTTTACACAATAAATATTACTTGTAACCATATTTATGAACAGAATAGGTTAGAAGATGACAAATAACAACAAAGAAGTTCCTTTTTGTATTTATTGAGAGGTACCAGATCACAGATTTTTAACAGTACTTTGATGAAAAATCAGTTGTCTCCACTTTTTTTTCTACTCTATGGAATCACACTGTAACTATATTATTTCCTGGCTGCTATCATAACAACAAAAATCTTTAAAAAGTGAATTTCTGTGTCGTATTAATATTGGCTTAAGGCTGCTATGCTGTCGATTTAACTCTTACTTACAGCTTAAACTGCCACAAATTAACAGTATAGTTCTAGAGAGCTGGAAACCAAAGTTAACTTGTATTAATCTTTAATTTAAAAAAACAAAAAAACAAAACAGAAAAAAAAAAAAAAACAAACAAAAAAAAAACCCCACAAAAGTAGCTTAATGAGAATACATGTCGCTTCACTTCACTGAGAGTCTGTTCAGTGAGGTTTTGTGATCTCTCTGTGGAGGGTTTGTCTAGTGTTACTGTGCTATATCATCTTAACTTGTCAACTTTGTGCTCCAATGATAACTCAGTGCTTATCTGTAAGAAATGTTGACCTGCCAGACCTAAATCTTGTCAGTCTTCACTGAAAGAAAAAAAAAAAAAAAAAAAAAAAAAACACACCACTCTCATTACAACAGCTCTTTGATACTCCAGAGATGTGTATGTAAGAGAGGAACAGAGGGTGAATCATGAGCAGGAATAGGAACAGCATAACAGCAATATACTGTAATTTTTATATTCTCTGTGCATATATGAATGTAGGCACTATGGTTGCTGTACTGTTTTATGTCTATAATCGCAAACCTGTAGCACTTCAAAAAAAAAAAAAGTGAATTGTGTTTCTGTTGTTTACTGCAATATCCACAATAAGCTAGTGGGATCATATTGTTCCTAATAAACCAGATTTCTCAAGCAGCTGCAGCTGAAGTTCACGTTGCGTCTGCTTTTCTTAATCAATTCTCAGTTTCATCTCTGTGCATGTCAGCAGGACAGAAAGAGAATAAGAGATGCCAAGGTGGTGAGCAGTGTATCAACGGAGCTCTTTTGATTGTCTGTTATCTATCCACAGCTATGAACTGTAAATGTAAGCCTGCTTGTGTCAACGTGACAGTCTCCTTGTGAAGGACTGTGCAGAAGCAGCAGCCGCACCCCATCAGACATCAAAGCTGTCCCCAAACACTGCACTTGTCAGCCTCCCTCTTCTGCTCCACAAGCTGCTAAACACGAGTGCAAAACCCCAAATGCCCTGCGGCCAGGTTTTTTTTTTTTTTTTTTTTTTTTTATACACCCCCTGCCTCTGTTCTGATCACACTTGTCTTCAAAGGCTACGGCACTCTCCCTGCTCAGTGGAATTTGTGAAAAGCATGATGCAGTAAAACTAATGTTGAAAGAGTTGAGTGGGTGCGAGAAAATGAGGGGAGAGGAGTAAAAGTAAGTGGTGGTGTGTGTATGTGTGTGTGAGTGTGTGGATATATCCCTGAGGAGACCAAGAGCGGAGGGAAGTTCATTTGGGCTGGAGCCCCACGCAATCCCTCCTCTCTCTCCCCCACTCGCCATGCATATAAAATGCATGACACGGTCTGAAGAGGAATTTTAAATCAAGCCCTAGACTTTCAAAAGAGAGTCCAGTGTGTGTGTGTGTGTGTGTGTGTGTGTGTAAAGAAAGAGAGAAAGATGGGCAGTGAGAAGAGGAGGGGGAGGTTAGAGACGCCCTCCTGCCTTTTCTGCTTTAGGGCTACAAGGTGTAGAAGAAGCTTTCCCAGCGCTGGGTATCACAGGGGAGATTGGGAGATCATAGCAGATTGTCTGGAGTAAGTCTGGTCCAGTTTTATCCCTCATTTGGAAGTCCATCAGATCCAGGCTTGGTATCTTTGCCTCATTTAGAGACAACCTTTACTGCAATAAAAAGTTCCTACTGAAATCTTACAATTTCCTTGAAAGTAGTAAAAAAAAGAAAAAAAAGAAGAAAAAAAAAGCCCCGATTGGAGGACATTCATCTCTTATTGGAATGTAAATATTCAATGAGAAAGAGGTCGTTACTTATTACAACTGTGGAAACGGATTTTGGTTGAAACCTCAAATTGCCTGAACTGTGTACTACAGCGTCACCTTGTGGCTGCCCCACAGACACACACACACACACAAATAATCCAGCAGGAGTTTACAACACCAGGCAACCACAGGGTACAAATTTCTTCTTCAGCTACAGGGAATGACAGCTGATTCCACTGAGCCAATCATCTTCATATATATGCATATATAGGGGATAAACTATCAGCTGCTGTAGTGCTCATCTGAAATAAAAACCTTTTCCCAGCACACGGTTGCCCACCCCTGCTCTAAAATATCCTCAGGGCAGCATGCCATGAGGAGAAAAGGCTCCAGGGCTGAAAGCTCAACAGCTCACAGCTTTGGTTGATGACTGCTTGGCCGTGTGATTCATTCACTCTAATAGAAATATTACAAGAACTGTGCAAGACAAGCATTTAAATACGGTAATGAGCTTGAGAGAGCAGGCATAGAAGGAGTGATATGTGACTCAAGGCCAGCCCAAGGCATAAGCAAACTAAGCAGCTGCTTAGGGCCCCCGTGGCCACCAGGGGGCCCCCAAGAGCACTTGAAATGCCCTACAAGGTGTTATATATATATATATATATATATATATATACATACACACACACACACACACACACACACACACACACACACACACACACACACACACACACACACACACACACACATATACTGAGTGACTTTGAGATGGGGCCACACGGTGCGACACTGGTTAGAACTGGCGCGTCACAGTGAAAAGGTTCTGTGTTCGAATCCCAGGCCTGGGGCCATTCTGTGTGGAGTTTGCATGTTCTCCTTATGCCTGCACGGGCTTTCTCCGGGTAGTCCTCCTGCAACCCAAAAACATGCACATTAAGTTAATTGTCCCACCCAGTGCCTTAGTATACTGTGACTTTTTATGCGTTACTATACTATGGTGTTTTTTTAATGACTTATCATACTATGACTTTTTATGCCTTAATTTACAATGACATTTTATGACATCCTATCCTATGTTTTTTTTAATGCCTTACCATACTATGACGTTTTATGCCTTACTATACTATGATGTTTTTATGCCTATCTAACAATACGATGACAGAACTGTAGAGGTTAGTCTTACAAAAAATCCTGGATATACATAATATTTATCCCAAATATTACATGAATGTGCACAGTAAAAGACAGTATGAACCACAGCTCTAAAGTACATTCAGTGTCCATTTATTTTTCTGCAGCCAGAAAAATAGAAAAAGTAAAACAAAGAACATTCATACTGCTGAAGTGTAGTTTCTCATGCTTGCACATTTACAGTACATGTTGATCTGTTACAAAGTTTCTTTGAACTGGACATATTGCCACAAGATATTTACAAAAATAACATTAAAATTGTGGCCTCTTTAAACATGTTGACACATTCATAAAAATAAAGCTTTCTGTGACACGTTTCCCGAAAAACAATCCTATTTACAGTCGAAGATGGAGATGAGTCCTGTCGAGCTACAGCTGAGATAACCGATTTTGTTTGCATCTTTGTATCTGAATTATCTGAAGCAACAAAACCCTGGAAAATAAATGTAAGAAATGTTTTTTAAATATCTAAAAAGACATTCTCCATCTTGCATCTTTAAGTCACAACAATGACTCTTAATCACTACTGACGTAAAATGAATGAGATGTACTCACTCATGGTTGTTGGCTGAGAGAATCCTTATTAATGTACAATTATATTTGCCTCTGACCACTGCATGTTTGTGTCAAAATGATTTCGATTTTTGTTTAGGATTATTTTCAGAATAAGATTTATTTAACAAAAATACTTAACAATTCTGACATGGTTTTGAATTGTAGTCACAGAGACTGAAAAAGAAGTAGAAGGTGAATTCTGCCAACTACTTATAATATTACACATCCTTCCCGTATCAGTTTCTTTAAAATGACAAATAATTGCACTGCTCTGGCAACAAAAAATCAAAAGGACACAAATACTGTCAGTTTTAAACTGGTGTGGACAGGGCAAACAAAAGGCACAAATAAAGAGTGGACATTGAGTGCTCCCTATTGGCGCTGGCAAACTGTTTTTTTTTCTTTAAAAACAACAGTCATAAAATGGCCACACTGTAGGTGAAGTGCAGTTTTGCTACCAAACAATAAGTTGAATCTGTGAATGTTCACCTTTCTAAGGCAACTACTGGGGAAAAGAAGGTTTTCCTACAGGTAATGACATTCAGCATCAACTACTAAATGTGACTGAAATCAGCTTGATCAGAACTATACAACCCAAAACAGCCCAAATTTATGAGAACCTGTCTCGTCGTTTATGCCTTTCCCCTCGCAGGTAACCATAATGCATCTGTGTGTGAGTGTGAGTGTGTGTGAGTGTGTGTGTGTGAGTGTGTGTGTGTGTGTGTGTGTGTGTATGTGTGCGCGTGTATATACAGTATAATGTATGTGTGTGCATTTAATCAGTGTTCAAACAACAACAAAAAAAAATTCAGAAAATCAATCCTCAGTGCAGGGACTCCACTTCACTCAGCTGTCTAGCTTTCTTTGGTTTCCAAGCCTCTATAGTGCATCAGTTGCAGGTGTCTCTGGGACCTTCAGACTGGCTCCACTCAGCCTCACGTTCCCTACCTCAACCTTCAAACTTATTTACTCCCATCACTTCTCCACTTCTGCTGACGCTTCCTCCCTCTCACCCAGTCAGGTTCTCCTCCTTACAGGCATCTGGTGAGGAGAAGAAGAGAGAGTTAGGACACGACAGAGACCCATAATAAATCAACATATTGTAAAATAAGCAGGATTACTGTTACTTAACCCAAACTTTGTTTAAATGTTTTCACCATTATTAATTATGCCCAACACAATCTCACCAGTGGATTGGGAAACTTCCCACTCTGCTGCAGGATCTCACTTGAAAAAAAAAAACCCATTTAGCATTCAAAACCATGATGCGCCTATTTCGACATATATCATATGTTGCACCACATTTTTTCACAAATCAGTTTTTACAGCAACTTTTAATGACTTTATTTCTGTGAGGATACAACCAGCAAAAATAAAGTCAATAAAAGTAGGAGTAGGCATAATTTGCCAGCTTTTCATCTGGACATCGTGTAAATGTCAAAACGAAGCTTCCTGCTTTCAAAAACAAGATTTATCATTCTTTTTGAAGCCCTCAACCACTGCCCCATTGGACTTTGTTCACCCAGTGAGAAGCTGCAGCAGACTGATTAGTTTCATAAAACCTGAAGTTGTGTGAATGCAAAAATATAAATGAGATAAAAAAAAAAAAAAAAAAGATGTCAGTAAATCCTGTGTGGAAAAACAGAGAACATAGAGAGTTAATTCTTGCATGTCGTGTTTTCTTTACAGCACTGATGGAGTGACAGTTTGAACCCACAGCAACCTCCAATGCTAAAATCACTAGAATTATGCAAGCGTCAGTTATTTGCTTCAAGCGTATCAACACAAAACATTCACATCAAAGTGGAGCTTGCTACTGGCAAAACAGAGCGGAATATGTAGTCAGTATCAGACAGGTCCAGCATAGTGTTTGGATTTGGTTTCGTCGGTTAAAATTATAGGCAGCAAACATTTGACTTGAACTAGTTATCAGGGTGGGCTGGCCATGACATGGTGCTTGGGCAAGTTCTATAAAGTGAAAATATTGTGTAAAACTTAACAAAAATGATGGACCCACTTTCTTTGTTGGGTTATAGTTGGCAATAGCTAACCATAGGTGGTGTGAGTGATCAGTGCAGGAGTGCAACTGTAGCCTACTCTATGTGAGAAGAACTGCTGATGACATTGCATAATGTGTGTGTGTTAAAAGGCATTGTTTTATGTAGGCTATAGATGGTTATTTGACGAGCCCATACTTATGTAATCAGGGAAAACGGGTAGTGTACATTCAAACCTAACAATTGCAATCCACACCACCACAATGTAAAATGTAACTATTTTGGAGGTTTGGTTTGTTTTTGTTCACAAACCACAATTACAAGTAAACCAAAGGTTTACTGTAGTAACAATTGACTCATCTTGTGTAATGGACAGAGTTCATCAGTCATCAGTGTAAAAAACACCAATATCAAAATCAATGCAGCAGAGTCAGAGATATTGTCTTTTTTTATTTTATTTGACACATTCTCCTTTTTTTTGTCAAAACACCTACATAACCCACAACAGCACTGGACTGCTGAAGGTCGGTGATTTGTGTGCATTATACTAGTGACAGCTAATGTAGCTTTGAGCCTCTAGCCTCCACTAGACATGGTGTCCTCAAAATTTATCAGACTTTGCACAGCTCACTCTGGAGCCACAGATGGCTTCATGAGTTCCTCTTTAACCCACTTGGAGAATGTTAAAGATGTTTACCCCTGGACTATATGTATAGACCATTTCCCTCACTCTGTCTATCTGTTATACCAAACTGATAATCTCTATGCATACTATTAAGCCACTGTATATTGAAAAACAACTACCACATTTACCATTTCAAATATATTTCAATGCATTTGTTTTTGAACGAGCAGCATATTTTCTGTCAGTGAGCGTTTTTGCTGATTGAGAATGACAGAAAAATCTGTTATCCTGACACAAAAATCCACACAACACTGCTGCACACAGCGGCATCCAGCAGGAAAAACAGGACGTTGGACGGGCGGCACCATGCCTCCTTACAGCCAGCCATGAGCAAAACCGATGCTTTTCCTACCTGGGGCAGAGTTAGAGGGCAGGTGGGGGGGAGAGAGTTCAGGGTCCAGGACAGAAGGGGAGTTGGGGCTATCAATGCTGAGCATCTATACCTGAAGGGCTGAGTACCAGGGTCTGGAGGATGTCCGACAGGGAGACGATACCCTCTATGCTGGAGCGCTCGTCCACCACCACCAACCGGTGCACCTGGCATAAAAACACATGTTCACAGATGAACTTAGAAAGAGTAGTAAGGCTATTTCTTAATGGATGTATTGTATGTACATCAGAGTCAGTCTCACTTCGGCTTTGACTATTCTGTCCACAATGGTCTCCATTGTTTCCATTTTATGGCACTTCACGACTCCTTCGAAGTACTGAGAGCGATGTTTCAGAGCCTGTGTCACTGTAATGTCCAGGTTGTTGTATGCCTTCTCAGCAGCCAAGTTCTACACACAGACACACAAAAACATGAAAATGTAAGAAGTAAAAATAAATCACAGAGCAGCTTAGAAACTACAAATTTCGGCAGAAACTGCAGAAATTTCAACTTACAATGACATCAAACTTGGAGTAAATATCCACAACTTTGCCTATAAGAGAACCAAGACAATTCCAGTTAGTAACAAAGTTAATTTCGTAATATTAATAAAATATACAGTGTCAGTACTAGAGTTAGAGTTTGTGATCTTACCCGAGTCATCCACCACTGGCAAAGCAGACACTCGTCTCTCCACAAAGATGTTGAGTGCTTTGATGATGGGCGTGTCCGGGTGGATGAAAGCAATGTCATGGTACGTTCCAATGCCAAGCTCCCCGAGAGTCTGCTTCATGAAAGCTGGCTTTGGCATTTCACACATCTGGGACACACAGATTGCGCACACACAGACATACAAGGAGACAGAGACACACTGAATGAGATCACCCTCCCAGTTCATCAAGGTAAAGTCACATTTTATTAATTTTCACATTGACCACTAGGGGGCAGCAGACAATGAAAGCAGAAGGGGAGATGAGAAAGTTTTCAACAGAATCATAATCAGCCATAGTATTTTAGAACATGCAGGTTTAACACTAGTTCACAGATGGAAGGACAGAGATTGTGTTGCACTCACAAAGAGCTGGAGGAACTTGAGGATCCTCTTGTGTGTGAGAATATAAAGTGCATTCCCTGTGACTGGGTCAATGACAGGCAGCCGGTGAATTTTGTTTTTGATGAGGGTGTACACTGCATCAAATAGGCTGGAGACACAACAAACACAATGATCAGTTACAGGCAGCACAATAATATCTGTTGACAAATATGTACCTAAACAGATTCAATGATATACAAACCTTGCATCAGGTGATATGTTGACCAGAGGTTTGAATGTGGCTTGAAGGTAAACCTCTGTGTAGCACAAAAGAAATATTAAAGTATTTTACATTCTGCTTATAAAACAGTGATAAAATCTTACTTCATGCATCCTACAAGAACATGGCAGGATAAACATGACACTTACCTCTCCATGTCTCAAGCTTATGCTCCTCTAATTCATAAATTTGCACCTGAAAGACAACAAAAAAAACTGGTTTGTTTAAAAAAAAAAAAAAAAAAAAAAAAAAAAGGAGAAATCCCCAATGTGACAAAAAAGCAAATGTCATGCAACGATATCTGCCAAGTGGACCTACCATTGGTGACTTATAGTATCTGTGTAGTATGATGATGAAATCTGTGATTGTCAGCATTCCTGCAATAGAAACCAGCAGTGAAACACACTGAATCTATAAACATACAGCATACACATACAGCGCCATGCCTGCAGGCACTGTGCAACTGGGTAGAAGAGACAGCGCTTTACAAGGGCGTGGTTCAAACAACACATCACTGACTCCCCGCCTCTGCTCTATCCGCACGCTGACTGGGCATTCATTATTCATCACAGGCTGACTTGCAATAAACTCTGCACGGCACAACAAAGCCAATTCACCATTGGTTTTGTTTTTGGCACTTTCTTACTAGCAGAGGGTTTATTTTTTGGAGAGTCTGCAGAGATTTTTTTTTTTTTTCCTTTTTCGTTCTGCTAAGTCTTACATCCAACCTGTCTGAGCACAGGTCAATACAGAGGAGTCATTGCTGTGCTTAATGGTTTATGGCAGCTCTAATGACTTCTGCTCAATATAGCATCACGCTCCACTAGCCATGACCAGCGGCATTAATACACAACGTTGCCTCTGTGTTCAGTTGGCAATGGTGCACCAGCACAGCAAGCACATTTTCCATCTCAGTTAGGGGAAATAATGAAATGGCAGTTTTGACTTTATAAAACTAAATTGTGTCTTATCTGGAGAGGGTATTTGACTGAAAGCGAATCATTTACATCTGCAATGTGCAAAGAGTGTGAAAGCCTTTTCTTCCTTCTTTTTTGGTTCAAATACGTAAGTATTAATAAGTATTAAGTATTAATGGTATTATGATTTAGCAACTTTTTAAAAAACAGACAAACCCAGAAGTGTCTTAGTAAGGAGGGCCATCATGTGCCACCAGAACAGCTTCAATGCACCTTGGCATTGATTATGCAAGTCTGAGACTCTACTGGAGGGGTGAATACAATTCTTCCAAAAGATACTCCCTCATTTGGTGTTTTGATGATGGTGGTGTAGAGTGCTGTCATAGGTGATTAACTGGGTTGAGATCTGGTGACTCTGAAGGCCATAGATATGTTCACATTATTTTCATACTCATCAAAAATTCAAGTAACCCCTCAGGCCCTATGGATGGCATCATCATCATCCTGGAAGAGACCACTCTCATCAGGATAGAAATGTTTTGTCATAGGATAAAGGTGATCAGTCCGAACCACTTTGTATTGATTTGCAGTGGATCCAAACCATGCCAGAGAAAAGGGCCTCCCACAGCATAACAGAGCCCCCAGATCCCCTTACTGCAGGGGTCAAGCATTCAGGCCTGTACCGTTCTCTTGGTGTACGCCACACATGCACTGGCCCACTTGTGGATAATATGATGAAGGATTACTCATCTGACCATACACTTACTTTTTTCCACATTTCTAAAGATTATTGCGCTTGTGGTTTTTTGCACCAGTGAACAGAGTATCCCTCTCTACGTAATTTGTATGGAACTGTTCTTGCTGACACACTCTGATCACGTGCTGCACTGACGTTCTCAGTCACCTGATGAACAGTTGATTCTTATATTTCCTTACATATCGCACTAACACATGAGCATCCCAGTCATCAAATGTGCTCTGTCAAACCATAATTCCAACCCTATTTACTGACGTCTTTCCCGTAGATCTAAATGCAGATGTCACTTTAGTCACTGTTCCTATTGAAACACCAGCCAGTTGAGCAGTCTCTGTGACTGACGCTCCTCCCATCCACGCCCCAACAATGAAACCTCTTTCAAGTCAGTTGGATTCTTTTCCTTTTTTGGCATCTTTGTACTAAAATCAATCAACTGGGCCTGCTCAGCATTTTTATACCTGTCACAGAGCATGACTGGATGTTAAACTCTTAGCAGTCTAAGGGCTATTTTGACCATTGGTTTGATCATGCGTTGGCGTGATCAGGTGACTGCTGAAGGTTAATTGTGCCATGCATTGCACCTGTGTGGAAGCAGCTGCATTTGTTATGTTTCTCCACTAATTTATTCAGGTTTTGCCTTTAATGTGTCCCCTCTCTGTATATTTCCTATTGGAGACACTGTAAACACAATTATTTCAGTATGTGAAAGGAAAAACACATAAAAAACAACCATAAAGTACATTTCCTAACAAATCTGAATTGTTCTTACCCACAAAACATTTGTTTCTCTGTGTCCCACAGTGGGGCAGCTCGCACACCATTTGCAACCAAGGCAAAGAATGCTTTCTTAAACCTGCTAAGCAACATTTTGAAGAGGAGAAAAATGAGATTTATACATAAGATCATAGATCAAAGATCAACTTCACAACATGTGACTATCCTTTCTACAAGCTGAAACAGTCTATTAATCTATATTTATATAGGATCTGTAACAATCCTGACTCCTAATGGTTTGGAAAAAATCAAGATATTTACACTGCAGGCTCCCAAAACTTGTAATGGGAATTCTTTACATTTTTCTTGACAGTTCATAGACTGTTTAAGTGAAAAAATAATCAACAAATTAATGTCTAATTGAAAATAACTTTTAGTTGCAGCCCTGATCATTATCCTGAAGGCATCACATTCAACCAGTAGAACAAACCTCTTTGAAGTGCTTTTAAAACTACTGATGGTTTTTGTGTTGGTTTTAGTATTTTCCACCTCTTTTAGATAAGGTTCTTAACCTTGGCTTGCAGTGGATTTAGTGGTTGAAGATCTACACATCAAAGAGGCCGCTCCAAGATTATGTTTAACAACTTTATGACAATCTCATCAACCAACTCAAAAAGAACTGCTCTGAGGCAAAATACACCTTCGGATTTTATTGAACATTAACTTCAGCTCTTTCAGTTCTCAAGACTAGCGACCTCAAAAATCAATATATGGTATTTTTCTCTTATTTATTTTTTAATTTATTACTTTTTATTTTTACACTTTCTCCACCAACTGTGGTGCAGCACACTTTGACGATGATGACGATGAAACCATTTGTCATACATTTTAAGGGCTATCGTGAAAAGGGAAGTGCAATATACGAGACATAGGGACAATCAGTACTAACTTGGAGTGCTGTGTCGAACACAACCAGCTTCGGCTTGTTGGGACGATGTCGTAGCCTTGTGGGATTTCATAAAGCGCATGTAATATCACTCTCAGGTTCAGCAGCTGCAAGTAAAGAAGGCAGGAAAATACTTTTGGAGGAAGGATAAATCTCACAGGGAATATATAATGAGCGCCTGGAAACAAAACACACTCTCAGAGCCTAAACAACCATTACGCTTTGGACCACTTACTGCCACTTTACTGCTCCATCTCACTGATAATTACGCTCTGCTTTAAGCACCAAACAAGACAAAAACAGTGGAAAAACATGGGAAGCAAAGTACTGTAGGAGCTTAGATCCGTCATAGATGATGCACTTTGAAGATTACAGTAATTTTTTCCCCACATGTTGGTGGAGAAACACTGAGCGGATTAGTTTGACTTAAAATAATTGTTTGTTCCAGCTAAATAAATGTAAAGATTTGCAACTCTCCTCTTTCATATCATTGTAACAATAAAAATAAGGTTTTGGACTTGGTGGGTTAGATATTATTGCATCTTTTAGATGAATAAAATTGTATTCATTCTTATTAATGTATGAATTGCTAAATTGTATATGTAGTTTTAAGCTATAGCTTTTAACTGTCTTATTTCTTTTCCTGTCTATGTGTGTGTTGTCTGGGAAGCCAGATGCTGGAAATTTGCCCAAACAAGATTGTATAAAGTTTTTCTGATTCAATCTAATTAAATCATGACAGATAAATCGAGGGACTTCATGTATTTAATATTTTACCAGACAACATGATCAACTAATCAAAATCATTTTTCCTAAACATATGCTGCACCATGATCAAATGTAGAGGAAAGGCCTGTTGAATATCTTGTAGTTCTCTCTAGCATTGGGTATCTGTCATCCTTCATCGATACCACTGCGTTAAATTCGCCATTTAAACGAATGATTAGACATTTAAAAGGAACGAGTGTTATAACCAAACGCGGTGAAGTCAGGCAGGCTGGAGAGCGGAATCCCTTACATATATGACACAGATCAGAGTGGATGAATCGCACTGTCAACACATCTTTAAAACGGATTAACCTCTAACATCTGTGACTTGTAAAATTCCTCTTAAACTAGAGCATCACTGAAATACCAATGATCCACTGATCATTTTGCAATAACATTAAGCCCGGACGAATTGCGTTGAAGGCATAAAAACAGAGCAGTGGGTTCAGCAGATAACCGCATTCGGGACACTTACCATCATCATCTAGTTCAAGTTTTCTCCAGCATGCCTTGAAAGACCGTAAGACCTATGAGAGGGGAGGAGAAGGCAGAAGTTTGCAGTGAAGAGTGCAGCGGATCTCACAACCAAACACACGGGTTGCAGCAACCCGAACTAAACTTTGAACTGTGATTGTTGAGTTAACAGCAGACTGAAGCCGACTTTCCACCAGCGGCCCCAAGCAGAACCGGTCACATCGAGTCCAACTGTGGTGCGCAAACATAAAAAATAAAAAAAATAAAACCAAAACCGTCGGCGCCATCCAGCGTTTAAACCGGATTAACATAAAGCTCCTCCCAAACTCGCTAAATATACACAAGGTAACGTGACAAACGACGCTTGTACTTGGAGCCTGCAAACTAGTCGCACATATGTAATAAGACTACAACACACACCCCTCAAACTCGGAGTGGAACAGTCCCTGATCCAATTTGGCTGGCAGTAGGGGGAACCAGCGTACACGCTGCTTCAAAACAACCACTTTCACTAAGCGTGTCAGAATAAGTCCACTACAGAATAAACAGATGAATTCATTGTTAAAGCCATAATCTGCCAAACATACTTCACCCGCAGGCAAAATCTCTCGCATGAAGCGTGGGGATAAATAAGCCAAGCTCCACGCACTGGGTGGACACACCCCTTCCATGCCAGAGCAACCTGGGTGCTTGCACAATATTAGTGAAATACCCTTACGTTGCTAAAGCATCAAGAAGCGTGGGGATTGCTAGTCACATCCTCTGTTCATTTCGTCTGACAAAATCGAAGCAACATGGTGA